AATCCCAAGCACAAATACAGGCTGGGAAGCTAAGAAGGTATTGAATGAAAAATGACTGAGGAGTTTTATGTATTGAAACTAAATATCTGAAATACAACCTTGGTTAGTGGAGTAAGTAGGTTTTGGTAATCTATAAAAATTTTGTGCCCTTAAGGTAGGGATGTGAGATGTTAGCTGTTGTGAAAGAAATTTTCTTGTGAAGCTGCATGATTACACCTCCAAAAGTCTATCTAGGAAGCAAAAGCCACTGTACTTAAAGATCAGGTAGGCAGGCGTGTGCATATTTATATTAATACTGTTTTGGTGCAAGAGCAAATACTTGAACGCTATGCTAGAAATGTGAAGAGTAGCAAATAATTCTCCAGTTGCAGAGACCCTTCCATTCATATCTGTGGCTTCTTACCAGAAGCCACTAAGTGGCTGTGAGTTTCTCTTCATTGCTGTGTGTATTTTTAGAAATAAAGTCCTAGACCATAGATTAAGAAGAAACTTGTATTCAGGATGTGTGTGGTGTAGAGAACATATTTTCATTATACAGTAAGCATTAGCTAGTAGGGGGAAAAAAATACCTTGGAGATTATTTAATCTCATTGTAAGAAAATTTCTATGAAATCCATTTGGGCACTTTAAGGAGAACAAGCAAAACAAACGTGAGAATCGTCAGGATGGAGGAGTGAAGAGAGATAGATCATAGCTGAATGTTATTACTGAAAAATCAGACAGATGCTCAGAAACAGGATAGCAGGGAAGCTAGCATGGTCAAATAGCTGTCACTGATAGCAGCTTGTTCCTGCCAGAACAGCTCTGGATGCTCCTCCTGTGTTCATAGCCTCACAAATGGCTTTCTTGGCAACAAGTGAAATGCTGGTAAGGGGCATTACAGTAGTATTAACCAGATGGTGTTTTCTAAAGTTCCTGCTGCTTCTGTACAAGTTTTAGTTGAAAAGTTTATTCATTTCTAGTAATGAGGGCTGGGTGGGGAGACAGGCAGGGATGTGCTTCTGTTTCCCTTCTTTGTGCCTGTGCTGTAAATGACTGCAAGGAGGAGCGACAGAACCGGAGGCATGCTGTGCATAGCGGGAGGGGTTCTGCAAACACTCTGAAGCCATTGCCCTCTGTTAGTGAAGAGGGTCAAACCCGCAGTAAGCGTTAACGCAGTGCAGCACCTCTATGACGTGCATACAGTGCTAATCAGGGACCAATATTATGTAAAGGATTCTTGGGCATACTTCTGGTATCAACCTTGGCTTATATTTACTGGACTTACAAGGCAGAAGCTCCTTCCTCTCTTTGGCTGCTGGCCTGTGTCTGTGCAGCCATGTTGCTGTGTCTTTCTACGGGTACCTTGTGGTAGTAGGAAGAATCTTTTGTGGGGGAGCAGGACTGCCTGAGCCTATTAAAAGCAGTGTCAGTTTGAAGTTACCTGCTTAAAAATAACATGGAATTTGCCATTGCAGCAGCTGGTTAATAAGCAATTACTCTCAATTAAAACAAAACAAAAACCGGAAAAAACCCCAATTGTAACCAGAAGAACAGCTGCTTCTTCTGACACTAAACACAGCAGCGATCAGTCACGCTGACACTTTTCTGTGGTATCATTTTTCACCCTTGTCACACCTTGTTTTAGAACAATATAAACCCATCTGCTGGTAGAAGGTGCAAGAAGGCTTTGGGGATTTCCTGTGCAGCTACTGGAGATGGTGTTGTGAAGAAGCACCTAGAACTGATGAAGCCTGTAGCCAACTGCATGTGTTCAGTAGGTGCTAAAGCAGCTCCAGATCTTCCCCATGACTGGAGATTACTCTCTTAGTACGGAAACTAAGTCTTCACGCAGATGTTAAATCCAAGTTTCTTGTTTGATGCTTTGTCAGTCAAGCAGAAAGAAAATCTGAACACATGCTGCATAAGGGAGATTCACAGATTATTTATTGATCATGTGATGTTGTGAGCTGGCATCTTTCCAAGTTTGCTTTTTCTGTGGCCTTGTCTCATTTTCATCCTCTATTTAGAAGTAAGCCTGTTTTTTTCCATCTACCTGCAGTTGCATAACCCTTTTTCTTTCTAATACGACTGTTCATCTTTGCCAACTACCAGAAATGCTTACATGGAAAAAACTTAAGACAGCTAAAAATACCTTGCTGTAATAAAATAGAATTTAGTGGGAATAGGGGTATTGAATCATCAGCCAGCTCTTTTCAGGCTATCAGCATGTGCTCCTTGGACCCCCACCTCTGCCCTGTTTGTCACTCAGGTAGGGTTCTGGCCTGCTGTTGGTAAATCCAGAAGTAGTGTTAATGTAAGACCATTAAAACACCTTTTGTTAAAAGAACTGTGACAGCTAATTTTTGAAATGACTGAAGAATGTTTTCCCTAGTGGTGGAATTAAGGTCCCCAGAAATATGCAGTACCCACCACTTGGGGGGGAAAAGTTTTATTTTGCAGTTCAACTGAACTGTAGCTTGTTCAGAATCCAGTTTCACCCTGACATTGCTATTAAAGAAAACAGCTTATGGATAGGGTTGATCTTTTTGATGCTCCATTTATAGCTGAAAAAGTCAGTATGCCAAAATTATGATGTAAGTTACTCAGAGAAACCAACCAAACATTCCCCAAATGTTTACCTTTGGAAAGTAGCACCTTTGCATCTACAGTGCATGCTCCACGTCCATATTTAGTTGGCAAATGTAATGCCTCTGAAAGGTTGCTATGGCTTTTGAAGTTGGCAGTGGAGGGGTTTGCCAGAAGTTGAGTGTGCTTGGTGCCTGAAGCCTGTGTTTTAGTAGCTTCTACGATTTCACAAGACTGTCAATTAAGGATTTGTACTCTGAAGTTCTTAGATGGTACTGAAAAGATGTACTTGAAATGTTAAATATAACTTACAACTGTATTGTTCTTCTCTCGGTAAATACTGTGAGTATGGTGCCATTTTTGGTGACAGAATCAAGTTCTGGAATAAATTCAGTAGAGTAGACTTGGAGAAGCTTCTCTTATAGCTGAAAGAAGAGATCTCTGTCCTCAACAGACCAGAGAAGGAGAAAAAGGCAGGGTCTTAGATTAGATTAATAAGAGTTAAATACTGTGAATTTTGAGAGAACATACACGCAACATAAATAGAGCTGAGGGGAGAGCGAGCGAATGGGAACTGCACATCTCCACTTGCTTAACCGAGTGGTGACGTGGTTAATCTGCAGCTAAAAAGGACTAAGAGATAGAGTGCAGTGAATGACACCAGTGACAACTCAGGAATGTGATCCTAGATGTTATGTCAGTTGTGATGCTTAATTAGAGCTGGAATATTGTGCTAGAAGTTGGTAATACTAAATGTGACAGAAATTAAGAACCTGTTTTGCTCTATGTATACTATACATAAACTTTTACTAAAGATGGTAATGATCTTTCTGTGCAGAGCAAGATAGATAGTTCTCCCTACATTTGGAGGACTGTAGATTATGGATGGTTGCCAGCTTTTTTTTTTTTTTTTTAATAAGACTTACCTGTAGTTAATGTAAGAGTGAAATACTGGTTTGATTGGTTCTGGTATTACCATACCTTTATCCTGAAAATAGTCATTTGTCACACTGGTACAAAACCAGCAAGTATCTATATGATGGTGTTATGTAGTTTAACATAAAGACCAACGCTGACTATCAAACTCTGCTTTAGCATACTTGTAAGAGTACTGCACTTCGAACATTGATGGACATTATCATGTCTCTGAACATGAACTTCAAGTCAACTCTTTGAACAGACCCAGAACAGCTTTATGCAGTTACTGCTTCTGTATTCACTGCATTTTATAACAACTTTTCTTGTCCTTTTAGCTTTACCTTCAGGCCAGAATGAAAGGAGACTGGGCACGACTTCTACGTCCTACTCTACAATTTAGTCTTATTGCTGCATCTATCTATGTGGGTCTCTCACGTGTCTCTGATTACAAGCATCATTGGAGTGATGTTTTAACAGGACTCATTCAGGGAGCAGTGGTAGCTGTGCTCACTGTAAGTAATTACTGAGGGGTGGGTCTGTGTGTGTTTTTAAACAGTGCTTTTATAAACAGCACCTTAGAATTGCAGGATGTGTTGAGAAGAGAGCAGACCTCTCTTCCTAATCCTTTGAAAATTGCTGGCGAGGGGAAACAACTCCTTGAGCTGGGTGTAGCAATAGTACTTCAGCAAGTGAAGCAGACTCTGGGCCAATAATAAGTGGCTCCTTTAGCTGTTACACAACATGAAATTGTCCCTACCCAAGAGCTTTTGAAATAACTGAAGTGGAAACTGTCATCTGCAAACCTGTGTAGGCCTCTATGTAACAGTACCTTTTGCTTCTAGCCAAATTCTAAATCCGAGTATAGCAGCAGAGAACTGTATACAAGGTAAGCAGGGCAAAAAAAAAAAGCCTTTAAGGACAAGGACAGCATGAAAGTGTCTGCCTCTGCCAGCTTATACAGCCTGTCTTTTCAGTCTGAGGGAAAGTTTAGATCCTTCACCACTTCCTGTGTGCATTTTGAGTGCTAAAAGGATGTTCACAACAACCAGCAGGTGAAGCTTAGCTGTACTGATGGGTGAAAAGCTATTCCAAGGAAAGGGGCATCAGCTGAACTCAGAGCTGCAGGCCTCCCTGACTTAGTGGCAGCAGTTGTGCTGGCTGTCACCAGAGTGCCATGGTTGATTTATTAATGGGAAGGGACAGATCACAGACTTCTGGTTCAGAGACCTGAACTAACTGAGGTCATACTGAAGAATTCCATTACCAAGAACTGAGGCTCACCTGGAAGAACCACCTCCAAGATAAATGCTTTCTCAGATGAAAATCATAAGGGTACAGTTTGCTTCAAGACAAAGCTTTGTTTACTTGTTGCAATCATTCCGCAAAACAAATCTTGCAGTAGCTCTGGGAAACCATACATACTGCAAAACTGTTGTTATTAAATGGCTGCACATTGACTAAAATGTAATCCTAGCCCTCACTTTTGTACAATCTCTTTTTCTAAGAAAAGGAGGGCAGGGAATAAGAAACAAAAGGGATTGAAGAGCCACTTTTATCAGGAAAACAAGTTTAATAAAGAGCATTGGGTGAGACGGCATCTTAGAGATGCTTGGTAATAGCAGAATGAGTAGAAGGTGGCATTACAGTCAAGAGAGCCGAAAGGCTTCTCCTTTACTGCACTTCATGCAGCACTGTACCCAGCACACATACTAGTCTGTCTTGGTGGAGGGGGCAGCAGGAACGGAGCAAACTCCAGACCTGGGTCAAGGCACCTGGCTTGTAGTCAGTAGCTGTGACAGAAGTGAGGTGGCAAGCTCAAAGGAATGCAGTAAAGGATAACATAGGTAGAGCTGTCCTTACAGCTGCTGGAGCTGTGGATCAGATACGTTTTGGGGAGGGAGCTGCTGTGACCCTTGCCAAGGAGAGCATTTAAACTTGGTTTAATCAGCTTTTGAAGAAATGCAAGTGAGAGTGACACTCAAGAGAATAACAGTTACTGACTATAAAACCATCTTCCTTGGCTAAACCACAGGCTCTCCTGTCTTGTTCTAAATAAATTACAGAATAAATTTAACCATAGATGTGATGGGGGTGCTCAGCAAGCATATCTTGCTCTTTCATTTAGAGTTGTTCAAGCTGTGGCGATGGTAATAAAGCAGTGCCTGATAAGGCAGTTAGAGTACTTGGTACACAAGCCTTAAACCCTCAGTGGCTAAGTGGTTGAGGAGTGGGGGAAGGAGTAACTGGAAAAAAAAACTATTGAAAGAACAGATGCTAGAAGTTTATATAAGACTTCCTAGCAATTTTCAATGTTAAACTTTTTATTAATTTTGATTGTGGCATTTACCTTCTGCAAAAGCATTCATCCATTGTTTCAAAGATGTGCAAGTGCAATCTTAACACTAACTTCTTTACTTAGGTTGTGTATGTGTCTGACTTCTTCAAAGTGAGAGGATGTCCATTTCAACCAAAAGAAGACTCCCATACAACCCTACATGAGACTCCAACAAATGGAAATCACTTTGGCCACAATCATCAACCATGAAGAATGATCCACTTCACCTGTCTTGCTATCCGAAAGGAAAATAATTTCACAAGTCTAACTACATAATAGAAGTAAATGCCTGTATGGGACTGCTGCTGCTCTTGGATGCTCACTTCACCTGTATATAATAATATCTACCACAGTTATTGTGTATCTAAACTTTAAAGTTCTGTTGGTTCAAGCTCTTGCTTAAAAGAAAAAAGCTATTCAAATTGTAAATTTTTATTGAAAACATGGCTAACAGTTATATTACATACACTGCTGTTCGTACATGCCTTGTTGAAACAACTGTGGTTTAAATACACACCATTAAAAGAAATGATAACTTGAGACAGAAGCAGCATCTGAGGCTGATGAACTTCTTCCATAATGTGAGTCTAGTACTGGTTTTAGAATGTAGCTCCTGCTACAGGTAAAGGCTTGCAGCAAACACAATATCTCTCTTGATTTTTGTAATCCCTATTAAAAAGGAAAACTGTATTAATATCTAGCAGTCATAACTGACACAATCATTATTTACTTCTAAGTACAGTTACAAGCATGTAATACTTTACAGTACAGAAAGTGTTACAAGACTTAAATATAAGCCATTGTACATCCCTTTGCAGGCACAAACTTGGTTAAACTGTCACTATGCATCAGAACACTATCTCTTTAACTCATACTGTGTAACAAAGAACAACGATGCTGTTTACCATGAAGTTCCTACCAGAAAGAAGCTTATATTACCAAATCACTCACCACTCTACTTTCTAGAATTACTTCTCACAATGTGCAAGTGAAATACATACCCTCTGCAAACTTATTTTCCAACTCTGTGTTTCCAATGGCTTTTGCAGCCTGGCACATCTGCCGAAGCAATTCTTCTAGCCTTCTCATGCAACGAATTATGCTACCTGGATAAAAAGAGTGAGGGAAAACTTTGTATCCCCTGCCATATCATGTCACTGAATAATTCAGTTGCTTGAACCCCCCTGGAACAAAGCAAGAGTTCCTTCTCCAACCCAGTTCAATTTATCTAGAAGCCAAGGGTAAAAACAGCCATATGTCTTAAGCTTGGTTTCTGTTTAACAGTAAATTTCTCCATCAGGCATTGGCTTGAAGCCATCTTCAAATGCTTGTCCTGTTCTTATTTTTTTCTACTCAAGTTTGCTGCTTCAGGAACCACCACGCGTCGGTGGGGGGGGGGGGGGGGGGGGGGGGGGGTGTGTTTTT